CAAACTATAATTTGTCTATCCTTAAACTGATTCTGTCAGATTTAACTCTTGGGTCTCATTCAAGCTCTCTGAAACAAAATATGTACTTTTGACTTAGCCTCTAGAAAGATGAGAAGATAGCATGGCACTACAGTTCAGTCTTCCTCCTTTTCCTCTTTCCCACTCCCTGCATTTATTTCCAGGTCAGAGAGATCTCCTTTTCACATTCTGTATTCCTCACAGCTTTATTTCTCCCCCTCTCCAAACCCAACAGTATTATTCCATGACTGTATGGCAAATGATATCCCTTACACATGACCAGCAATTCTTGTGTGCAGCAGTTTTTCCCAGTAACTTGTAAATTATAAACTAGAGGGAACAACTTCTTCCTAGGTAATGCAGTGTGTACATTTCAGAAGGCAGCCTGTTTCTTTAATGAGATATAAACCCATGTTAGCGTATCTGCAGCCAGCTCTACAGTTTATAACTCTAGATTCAGACTATGAAACATTAAACTTTTAAACACCCTTGCCATGGAATATATGAGATATCATTTAATATTGCTGTCTCCTTGAAGTTCTGTCTAAAATAAGAGTATTAGGGAAGATGGAAAATATGTAGCAGTTTCGCACTGAGAGATGGATCAGCAGTGTGGTGTGTAGGTACATCTGCAGTGCAGCTCATTACACCAGTTCTGGAACACACATAGCATGTAAGCAGATGAGTCAAAATCTCAGTCCCAAACCAATGCAGTGCTCTGTTACACAAAACAGCTCAGTTAGAAAACTTTAACTTCTCTGCTGTTTCTAAGAGCTCCTCCATCAGAAAGGCTTGTTACATAGCTAATATACTGCTTTTTCTCCCACACCTCATGAGTTTCTTATTGCAGCAACTGCAGAGTAACTTCCAGATGGTTACAGTGGTTACCTGTAGCTTGACTACAACTGAAGCCTGAGGTTGATAATTTAAAGTTGTCTTGTCTTTGTCAGTGCTATACTGCTTGCTTTTCAGCAGCGACTTGGACTACTCTCTGTACATCTGATACAGTTCATAACTCACACACTAGGAGCTCACAGGGTGGCAGCATACCACGTGCTGATTCCTGCCAGAGATTTGGTTGTCTAGAGGGTTTCCTTTCATTCTCTGAAGTCTAAAAATGGTTAGTTGCTTCCATCAAAAGTTCTACTTATCCAAGTTTGGGAAAATATCACTGAATGCATTGAGGTAATACCTACATTAGGTAGATGGGTTGCTTCTCAAAATGGTGGTAAGTTTTCTTCTTTGCCCACAAGAGCCTCCTATAGGAAGTCCATAGCTGTGTTTAGACCAAGCTGCGCTGACTTCAGATGTGTATGTTTTGCATTAAGAATTACTTCTGCGACTCCAAGGGGAGCATTTGAAGTGCTCTTAGGCTGCTCTTACGCTATAATGTGAGACTCCAGTGCAGGAGTCTGGTCAGCCAGGAGGTGACAAACATATGAGTGGTGGTTGACTTGCCTACAGCTGAGAGAATCTGTTCCCCTTTGCCACCTGCCAAGTCCCACACATTTATGTTGTGTTCTCCCCTGGTTGGAGCCCCAGCGAGTAGAAAGAAACGTGTTTTCTTACAGTGGTGATGCAGAGTGTTTCACTGGTGGTTGATCACACGCTAGGGCAAGTCACAGAATTTATGAGTTTTGATGATACTTAAGTATGTTCAGATGTTTCAAATAAGAGTAGATGATTCACAATTTCTTCTGATAAACCTATGAAAAGCAGAATGTAAGAATAAATCAGTTCTGCATTTCCAGCATGTACCACTGAATCTACAAGACAATGTGTTGGATATCCAAGCTACCATTTCTCTTTGCTGAGTTATTTGTAATACTTACCTTTGTTTCTTGTGATACTTCAATATCAAACATCAGTATATGCAAGTGTAAGTAAGTGTAATCATACACTTTTGCTGCATTTAACAAAGGTGGATGCACAGTGCTTTATTTATTGTCCATCTCAATTGGGTGGTGCTCTAGGAGGAATGCGATTGAGAAATTCAAGTCTATGGAAATGTTTCTTGAATCATTCCTGAATTTTAACGGGAAATGGTTATGACATTTCTTTTTAGAAAAAAGCTGCTTGTATTTGTGAATATATTGCTGCAGAGAGAAAGAAGAAAGCAGGAGTAAACCTGATTCATCCTTTTTTGTTCTCCAAGTAACCAAACTGCACAAAAAAGGCAATAGATCAGATTTTTTTTTTTAATCCTATCCTTTTATGTTCCCTGACGATATTAAAATAACATTGGTAAATTTTTAATGTTTGGGAAATATTAATGCATTATTTTAACCTGACAGGTTCTGGCTTTTATGAACAAATGTCAAACCAAACTTTATGCTGAGGCATTAGCAAGTTGTAAATGTGCTTTGACATTAAAAGGAATTGTAGGTATTTTAATTAAAGTTTCCAAAGGACAGTTTTCCCCAAACGTTCACAGTCCTATGTATGTAGACAGTTAATCTTCCTCGTATATTCCTGTGTCCAGCTTGTACTAATAGTGCAAATCATGCTTATGACTTGAATGAAAACTTAATTTATTATGATTATGTGGATGTATTCTGTGAGCCAGCAGACCCAGCTGTGGTGCTGGTTTGGTGTGTGAACTCTGTCACTACCCAGTGATTTCTCATCCATCCTGTTTATGGCACAGGGCCATTTATTTCTCCCTGTTCAGTACAGAACTCCCAGCATATTCATTTTATGGGGAAGTCCAGGTTTTAACACAGGATAAATAGTATGCAAATCATGATTTTTTACCTCTTTATTTTGTTTTTCACTTTATTCAGAAGCCAGTAAGATGGAAATGTCCTGTTAGTGCAATGCTATGTGTGTTGTGAGTTATGGGTAAAAAAACCAGCTTTCCCCAGCTCAGTTTTATGGTTGCCCAGGGAAGGTCAGAGGTGATGAGTTGCTCAAGAACCACATGCAGCTCTGTGGCAAAAACGTGAGACTCCCTTGGCAAGGGCTGTAACACATGCAGGGCTGTGCTGGGGCCAGTCTGCTGGATAGTCTGGGCCTGTCCTGTCCAAGGAAACAGATCATCACTGGCTCTTCTCAGGAGCCCAGATCTGTGGCCAGCCCAGCATCAGTCAGCTGCAGCACCACAGGGGAGCTGCTGTCATCTCCTGCCTATGAACTCCTGCTGGAGCTCTGTTTCCTTTTGGTTTTCTGAGAGATGTGATGAGTGTCTTGTGGTTTGTAGAGTCAGGAGGGTTGGATACTCCTGAGTGCAATTACCTGGCTTAGGTATTAATTTCTGAAGGACGCAAGAGAGTCTGTCTCACTAAGATGCTTAGCTGTAGTTAGGACCAGCCAGACAGCCAAGGATTGCCGCTCTGGCAGTCCTGATGATCTTGAATTAAACAACAAATGGCCAGATTTGAAAATTTGTTACCCAGTTTTTTTTTTTTTTTTATCTTAGCTGTACATTAAGCTCTCCTTTTGGGAAGCTAAGCAAATGTCTGCTGGGGCTTACGTTTTACTGTTACGTGACCTTGAAAAGAGCAAGTTTGAGTTTAAAGGGTGTTTGCCTCAGTTGTGTAGAAGACCAGTGTATTAGCTGCTTACCACTTCACTACTTAGTAGGTAACTTTTCAGTTTGAAAAGGCCTTGTTTCTATATATGACAGATGTGTTGCAGTTTATATAAGATACAAACTTGGAGCAGGAGCATTTCTCTTGCATTAAATTTATGCTCACAGCAGTACCCGTATTGTATGCAGCTATCTTTAGAAACAGTCTTGCTGGATATATCTGTGCCTTCAGTGAAATGTAGAACGCAGCAGTACTGAGGAGGTATTTCATTATTTAAAAGGTGAATGTTAAGATTCACTGCTGCTGCTCTATAGACTACACAAACTGCAGACACCACACATTTGTGCTAAATTAAAGAATAATAGAAGTGAGACAGACATGGTATTGCTGAGCTTATCCTGCTGACAATTCTGTAGCAATAAGTTGCCTCCTCAAAATGTCCCTTCCCCTCAATTTTTCTTAAGAGTTTCAATTCAACTTTTTTTCGTCTTTTCTTTTTTTCCCATGAGAGACCCAAGAGCTTGAGAACTGCTTTGTAACATCCCATCCCAGTTTAAAAATAATGAAATTGCCCCAAGTGAGGAATGCCCTGAGACAAGTATTTAAACATTCCTCTGCCTTAGGGTGCTAGCACTGACAAGAGTTAGGTGGTGGTTTAGTGGATGAAGTGTCAACCTTAATCCTCATATTTAGAATTTATAAAGCAAGTTTATTTAGTGAAGTACTTTTTGTTTTCTTAAAACCTTTAAAAGCCTGCAAATATTGTTATGCTTACTCTGATTTCAGCCACTGTTCTATTTTACACTTTACTGACCTTATTTTCATGGTAATGTTTATTTTTGCTTATATTGAGAAGTGGTCATTCTGCAGTAGTTTACCCTTCTAACGGGTTATCTATTAAAGATGTTAGAGAATTGCTGTGCCAAGTGCATTGCAAAGGAAACCACCTCAGCATCTAAAATGGTGCAGTAAAGGTATTTCTCCATGACAAGTTCAGAAGTGATCTGTGTCTGCCTGTGTAGCTGTTCTGAAGTTTTGCATAACTCCTCTCTAATTCCTAAGCGCCAATGATCTTTGAATTGCAATTTAGGTGTCCAGTCAGCAGAATTATTTCTTGAGCAATGACAGCCTGTGAATAACTGTAGTGTAAAAGTAGAGAATGGCGAGCCCTACCTCTCTTCTTAGCGCTCTGTTCATACGTGCAGGAATAATTTCTCAGCATAGAGGGGCAGTGCTTCCTAGGTATGTGGCTTTGTGCTCCCATGCTTTTGTGATGAAATGTGTAGCTTCTATCAAACCTCTTGCACGAACAACATATATTCTGACATCTGGGCGTCAGCATGTTTTTCAAAGTGTAGAGTGGAGTAGCTTTAAGCTGGAGTGATGAAAATAGGTGAAGCTGCAGCAGAAAGCATGTTGGGTTAATTGGATATTTTCTTCTTGCCTTTCTAGGTCTGATGTAGTTGTTCTGTGCTTTTCAATTGCTAATCCTAATTCCCTGAATCATGTGAAAACGATGTGGTATCAAGAAATCAAGCACTTCTGTCCTCGCACACCTGTCATTCTGGTGGGCTGCCAGCTAGATCTCCGCTATGCTGATCTTGAGGCTGTTAATAGAGCCAGGCGGCCTTTGGCAAGGTAAAGTTTAAAAATAAGAATTAAAAAAAATCACCTTCGTAATCAAGTACAGTACTTCTAAAAGAGAGGTTACAGAGCCTAGTTTCTTTTTTTTTTTGTAAAATGAGAATATATGTGCTTTCTTTTTAATTCTGTTGTCTGAGTTTGTTAGTTCTTTAACACATGCAGTTATTATGTGTTTCCCACAATATTTTTGCACATTGGACACCTAAACTTGTTTGGGTGCCTGAACGCTACGATAATAATGATTACTGGAGGTTTTCATATATGTCTTTCTTCATCTGAACATGTGTATCATGTCCTACCCTGTCACTACTGTCTGGTACTATTTTAAACTGACAGATTCTACTCAAGTTTTCTTAATTCTCAATGATTATTTTTATGTAAATGTAATCCTATATCATGGCAGAAAATAAAGTGGTTGCAAATTAAATTTTTTAAAGTTCTGAGATACAAGTGAGTTTGGGGTCATTCTGGAGAAGCTTTGTTTTTCCCAGATTCAAAAGATAAGCATTCACATGTTTGGGCAAAACAGTCCCACAATTACCTGTTCACTTCTAATTTCCTCCTTTTATGTGAATTTGAATGAGACCAGATTCATGGAAATAATATCCATGGTCGTGTAATTAAAGAGTCTATTGTAAAAAATTTCCATAAAGGGATTGAATTAATATACCATGGGCTCTTAGAAAACTTTGCATTGCATTGCATTCAAATTCTTAACTCAGCAATATGATTTTCATAGGTTGGTTTGTTTATTAAATATTTCTTCACTGTGTGGGTGGGGTTGGCTTTTTGATTGACTCTTTAAAAGGAAATGTTTTTTCAAAACTCAAAATTCTTCTGCCCTAATCCTCGTTTCTGATTTCACCATTATTAAAGTTTAAATCAGTACTCTGCATGTCTAGCACAGACTTCTGCCACCTGAACTGATTATTAGCTGGTGACTAAACCAAGCTGTTGTCTGGAGTGTGTTAAATCTGTGCCAGCTTGTGTCTGCCCAATATGATGTGCTCAGAGAATGCACTGTTGGGTCATGTCTTCTGGTGAGATGATTTTTTGTTGGGAAAATGGATCATAGCCCAGACTTTTTTCTGGTTTGTTTACCCTATGTCATGTACTAGAGCTGCTCTGGAAATTCATGAGTTCCCACATAATGCGTCTACAGCCAAAACAGGCCTAACTCTTGAAGTCTGTGTTCAGTTACACTTTTGTCGTAGGCTACTATGATTTTCTTGAAAAAGCATAAGCTTAAGAAATATCTCTCATTTCATACTTAGCTATATTTGTGTCATTTCTATGTCACGAGAATTTCCATTTGAGTTTAAATGATGATACTGACAGAATACCTGAGTAGAAAGAGATGTTAGTAGGTTTTTTTTAAATAATGAATATTCTCAAGCATCCTATCAACTTTTTTTACTGTAAATTTCCCTTTAACAGAGAGAAGGCTTGCTCCATTTTGTGCAAATGATTTCTACATATTTTTAATAAAATTGCAAAGACATCACCAAACTTAAACAAAATTACAAGTATGTGCTATTCTAAAACTCTCTGGAGTCATGGTTGTAGATTTCCAAAGGTCTTTGTGGGCTTAATTTTATATTTTATTTCATTTGAATGTTAGTTATCTCAGAATTGGTGCTGAGACATTTTTTTAAATTCCATGCTTTCTGGAGTAATTTTGTGATGATTGTTGTGTGTGAGAAGGTTTATTTTTTGTTTAACCCTAGGCCGATAAAAAGAGGAGACATTTTGCCACCAGAAAGAGGCAGAGAGGTTGCCAAGGAACTTGGGATACCGTACTATGAAACCAGTGTATTTGACCAGTTTGGGATTAAAGATGTCTTTGACAATGCAATTAGAGCTGCTCTGATCTCCAGAAGACACCTGCAGTTCTGGAAATCTCATTTGAAGAAGGTCCAAAAACCTTTGCTTCAGGCTCCATTCCTACCTCCAAAAGCCCCTCCTCCAGTTATCAAAATTCCTGAGTGTCCGGTACCGAGTATGAATGAAGCTGGATATTTATTGGACAGCCCACTGTGTGCAGATGTTATGTTTGTCCTCCAGGAGCAGGACTACATTTTTGCTCACAAGATTTACCTAGCTACCTCCTCTTCAAAGTTTTATGACCTTTTCTTAATGGAATGTGAGGAAAGTCCAGACTTGGATGAAACACAGTGTAATAAAGAAAATACAAATAAGGATGTTCTGACAAGTCGCCTTGAGACAAATGGTGACAGTGATGAGACATCCTTGAAATCTGATGGTGTTAAAATTCCCCCACCAGAAAGTACTGGCTCTTTAAACATGCTAGAACCCGAACCTGGTGAAATAAATTCTACAGCAAGATCTCTGTTGTCCTGGGGTAAGGGGTTTGTTAGTGTGCATAAGGAAATGCAAGTGAATCCTGTCTCAAATAGGACATGTCCTGTAACTGTGGTAAAAATGGATTCATCTGTGCAGGCCGGACCTTTTAAAACTGTTTTGCAGTTTTTATACACAGGGCAACTGGATGAAAATGAAAAAGATCTCACAAGACTGGCTCAGATTGCTGAAATTTTGGAAGTATTTGATTTGCGAATGATGGTAGAAAATATTATGAATAAAGAAGCCTTCATGAATCAAGAGATTACTAAAGCATTTCATGTCAGAAAAGCTAATCGGATAAGAGAGTGCCTTTGCAAAGGGACATTTTCTGGTAAGTAAATACATGCTTTAACAGGAAAAGCACTAATTCTTTTCTCATTCATGTTACTGTCACTTCACAGACTTCAAAAACTGTGATAGCTTGCATTGTTCTGAGAGGAGGGATGAGCCCAAAATTATAGTGTTACTCAGGCCAACTCTTCCAACCTAGGATTCTGCAGTTAAATTTCTCAAAATGTAGACACAAGCTTTTAAATAAATGACCCAGTTTTCCAGTGTTGAACATCCAATATCCCCCTTTTGAGTGAGGCTTTTTCATTTAACTATATAAAACACTAGAATTGTCTTCAGGGTGGGGGTCATGGGAAAGTGAAAGAAGTCCTTGGTTAACAATGTGCAGGTGAAACATACATTCTTGAGAACACAGTTTCACTTTAAAAGCAGACTTGCAGTGTGCCTGTTTCTTTGTTCCCATGGCAGATGTGACATTTAAACTGGATGACGGAACCATAAATGCCCACAAGCCGCTGCTGATCTGTAGCTGTGAATGGATGTCTGCTATGTTTGGAGGATCATTTATCGAAAGCTCGAACAGTGAGGTATTTGTCCATTTTGCTTACAATGTCTGATGAGAGTGATGGAAACATCATTCTGTATCTATTTGAAAGGTTGCAATAATCCCTGGAATGATTCTTTATTTTTCCCTGGCAGACTTGGGATGCTTTTCTTCTCAAGGCATTAAATTAGGATGCCTAAGAGGATAACATATTTTCTGCAAGACATGAGACTTCCTGCAATGTTGGAGCATGTGTTTAAACCTGAAATCCTTTAAAATATCAAATATGGGGGGGAGGGGAAATTAAGTATGAATTTGTGAATTTCTTTAAAATAAGTTTTAAAGTTGTGTGAATATATATTTATACAATCAGAAGCATTACAAAGAACACTTGGGGCAGGGGCATTGATGAAGGATTTAAAGGGAAAAAAGGGTTAAAGAACATGGAGTGTTAAACTAGAAAAGGAGTGTTAAACTAAGCTCAGAATCTCTAGTGCATCAGCTTGTCCTCTTGAGTAAAGCAGGTATGAAGTACAGTATAAAAGATCTCAATGCTTTGAATTAAGATTTTGCAGCAGAATCTTTGTATTTTCAGGTGCCTTCATGGTCTGTTTTTCAAATTCTAAACACTCTGCTAATATTTTTTTCTTGTGTCTTATCCATACCCAGGTTTTGACTTTTGTTTTGATTTTTTTTGTTCCTTTCCATACTTACGGGTCTTGCTCATCTGAAGAGTTCAAGTTTTTTGTGTTTAATATTCTGGAAGACTGTGTGCTACTTAGATTTTTCTTGCTTCTTCTAATATAGCTGTAAACATAATTCCTTTCCCAGAGGCATGCTCAACAAGCGGTTCATTAAAAATACATAGTTTGATTCTAGTAAGCAACATTTGGCAATGAAGAATACACATTTATTTTCTACCAGCCTGTTTTTAATGATTAACTTAACAGTCTTAGCTTATCTTTCCAATTTAAAATATTTAGCTTCCATTTTGTAGAGTTTAAAGCATTCAGTAATGCTTTTGGAAGTTTTAAAATATAAGTAGATATTAATTTAATGGTTTCCTTTGACTGGTTTACAAAAAAATAAAACCATCTACTTTTTACATACTACTTTTTCTGTATTCGGGGCAGATTTTATAAACTTATTCACTGAATTTACTTTCTCTGCACTAACAAAAATATATTAATAATGAATGAGTTTCACAACTAGCTCCTCTGACTTGGAGAACTGAGCCGCTTCCCAGAGTGGCTGATATGCATAAGAGGATCATGCTTTAACAATAACAGATCTGGGTTTGAATCCCACCCATCCAGGCATAGCTAAAAGAAAAATTCACAAGCCCCCGAAGGTTAACAACCAGCTCTGTGACAATGATTAACCCCCTTCTAGCGGGAAGTACGTGCTGACTGCTTCCAAGCAGTCAGATTAAGTTGCACATACATTTAATTCCCCATCATAATTTTATTATTATTTTTCTGCTCTGCCATTCTTTTTACTGCAAGTTCTTCAGAATATCACAGTGCATTCTTCAGTGCCAGCATCTCTTTCTTGAGTTATGAAGACGTACGTTACAAACTGCTGATTAATGGGATCAACTAGCTTGCATATTGGAAGCAGACTTACCTGCCGCAACCCAGAGCCCCGCAAGAATCAGTTTTACCCTGTTCTTTGAAGGAATGGTCGTGTGTGCAAACTGTAATTGAGATGCTACAATGATAGGTTACAGTGAGGCTTTCTAACTCTCCTTCCTCTTCTTTTAGGCTTCCCTGCAGTTAAATGGAGTTAGAGTTGTTCGGACAAGAAATTAGATAGCTTTTGTCCTAGATGGCTTTTGTCCTAGTCTTGGTAGTTTCATTACATGGTGGTTACACTAATTACACATGTGTGGCAGAAATGGTTTACATTTTCTTTGCCTCCTTTCATCCGTTCTCAGTTTCTTCCCAACCATCATGTATTTGGATAGTTTGGTTATTTATAAACAGGCTGAGAGGGGTGGGGTTTCTGTTATCCTTTGGTTTCTGTTATTCTCAGAATCCCCAGAATATCTCTTGTCAGGAGCAGATAGATGACATTCCTCAAGAAGTCTACCAAGGGAGATTTGTCATGGGAAGTGCTCAGTGGCTTTTCTGTATCCGACATAGCTGTCCATTTGCAGGCTAGAAAGCATTGAACAGATTCACTGTTTGATGTGGATCCAATTCCAGCAATTTGGTACCAAGTTGTTTGTATGTAAGCTGGCAAAGGATCTGACTCTGGAGGTATGCTTACCTGTTGGCAGCTTCTTGAACTTCAATGGGAAATTTCTTTTTTGAAAAATATTTTCCCTGCATTTCTAAAATGACTTGAAGAGAAAAAGAGACAGTCCAGCAAAGTGACAGCAGTGAAATATGGGCTGTATGTGAAAATTCCATGATTATTAGACACTTTTTTCTTAAATATCTTTTCCAGGTGGTTCTTCCCAATATAAACAAGACTTCCATGCAAGCAGTTTTAGATTACTTGTATACCAAGCAACTGTCCTCTGGTCAGGAACTGGACACACTTGAGTTAATTGCATTGGCAAATAGGTTTTGCCTTCCTCACCTGGTTGCACTAGCAGGTAAGAATTTGTGGCCTTGTCCAACGCAGTGTCTTCTGCAATGGCTGAAACATGTTTTAGTAGTTTTGGAATGCACAGGATTTTCTCAAGTGTCAGGGAAAAGAAATATTGGTTTTTTTCTGAAAAGGATATTGTAATACAAATTTATATTTTCACTTAGAAAAATGTATTTGCCTTTCTCTTGCCTTTCTTAGTTTGTGCTAAACCAGCTCAGAACAGTAAAGTATTCTGTGCTTTAAAAAAAGAAAGAGTAAACCTTCTCTTTAGCATTGATAATAATGTCTGTGGTTTGTAATATCCATTCTGTTGTTGTTCAATTCACCTGAAAACAGGATGGACCCCAGGCTTTCCATTACATAATGAATGAAGTGCTCCATTATACATTTCTATTCAAAGACAGTAACTGAGCCAATTCAAAACTGATCTAGGTGATCATCTTTTTAGAAATGCTGTCTGGATCCCTTTTCACTGCCTAGATGGGAATTGGATATTTTGGTATGTACATGGGGATTCAACCCTCATTTCAGGAAGAAAAACTTTTCAATCACATATTTAGAGAAAAATTACAGGATAGGATAGTACTTAGTTCTAAAATGAAATCCATACACACCCCAGACCTCCAGGATATTTTGGGGGTTTTTTTGTTCATTTATTTCTCTCTATATATGTAACTTGGCATTGTGCTGAAGACACAGCCAAGGCCAAAACTCAGAGACAGATGAAGCAAAGCTACGTGTATTTACAGGACAACATTTAGGCAAAACTTAATCACATACCAAATCCTAGCTGCCCTTCATTTGTGCATCACCACTGCGTACCTTGTCTTCACTGGTTCTGACTGACCAAATCTCTATTGCGTGATATTATATGTGCATTTTAACCAAAGTCTTGGTTATTTTTTTAAGTAGTTGCAGCATAAACATACATATAGTATTAAGAATATTTCATTCCATTTAATTCTTGATGAAATAATTTTAAGTCCAAAGGCTACTGCCAACAACTGAACCCAGTAGAGTCAAATCAGCAGACAACATTTCACAAAAAACACTCAAACCTCTAAGATTCTAGGAAATGGTTCTAGGAATGGGTTAAGGAGACTTTTGAACTGAAGTGGCTTTTGGGGGAGCTGGACAGCCTTCATCTGGATCCCTAGGAACGACCAATCTGAGAATCTGAAGAGGGCCTGAATTGAACTTTTCTGTATCAGTGCTGTGGGTATACTCATTAATAAATCCACAATGCAATGGCAAGTGCACTGTTGCCTAAAAACTTGGCTATTGCTTTTGTATTACCCAAAAGAGACAGCTGATCCATATTTCTAAATTACATTGAATATTGCAGCCATCTGTTCCACCAGAAAAAGACTAGTGTCTGCTAAACTTTGTCCTTCTATAAGTGGTTATTAACTGCAGGCTTGCTTTCTGTAAGAAAGAGATAAGAATTTTGTGTGAAACCAGAAATAGATAGTTTGGGTTAAGGCAAAGGGGCAAATCCTCATGTGGACTGTGCTCCACTGGAGCAAGACAGTTTATACCTGTGATGCAGAATCTCCAGCCACAACTCTAAAGGCCTGAATTTGACTTCACTCAAATCTGAAAGTTGCTCAGGCTATCTGGGTGAATGTGCCACCTGCATAATGCTAGAGTTAACCCTAGGCGGAGGGAGAACGTGCCTTCTTGGTTCTTTGTTACTTGTGGATGACCTGATCTTGAAATGTGACCATTTCCCATGTGAGTGATGAGTTTTCTCCTCTAACAGAACAGCATGCAGTACAAGAGCTGACAAAAGCCTCCATGAGTGGCATTGCAATAGATGGAGAAGTACTATCCTACCTGGAATTGGCTCAGGTCAGTGTGCACTGTTTTCTAAAGATATTCTGGCCAACTGCAGAGCTTGTTTTAACACCTTACTGGTTCTGAGCATTGCTTCTAAGTGGCTCAAAGTCTGCAGTTCTGGGAGCAACTGACAATAAAACTTAGTTTTATCTTCTATTTCAAAGAAGGTTTTTCTATTAGTTCACAGATGAAACATCTATTTAAGTAATCTCGGAGGAGTTGTCTTTCAAATATATATTTTATTTTTTGTTGATTGTGGAGCTTCCAAGCTCCACGTTCTCATGGCCATGCTTCAGTAACATGAAATGCAATGTAATGAAGCTGTTCAGCTTTGTAACGGTGACTGATTCTTGGGTTCCTTTAAATTCCATTCTTGTAGATATATTTAGACCTGTATTGCAAAGGCAACATTTTTTGTATTCTTTGACTTGACACTTAGACTGGCTACTCAGAGCCAGTCATCTGATAGTTCGGAGTGAGTGCAAATCCTACTACTTTATGTTCAAACACGTGTCAGTGTTTCTTGAGTCCCAGAAACCATGAAAAGAGAGAACTGCAGCTCACAGTTAAACTGCACACCTCTGTTTTCCAAAAGTAGTGATACAGCAGTCTACTAGATGCAGTAGTACAAGCTAAAATATTTTTTTTAATTCTATTATTCTTGATTTCACACTAATGATGAGTCTGGCTGCAGCTTGGCTTGAAGTCCAGGCTTTTAGTAGCAATGAAATACAGCACAAGCTGGCCACCATGCAAGATTTCCTACAACTGCTTTCAAGTGACTCTCTTGCAATACCTATAATGCTGTTGCAAAACCAGGACTGAACCCCTTCCAAGAAAAGGCAACTCACTTCACTTAATTTCGATTTTATGAAGGGTGCTTTTTCTTTTTTTTTCTCCTGGTTGAAGACAGAAGTAATATGTTTAACTACTGTTAGGATATCCTCTGCTCCCAGTACATACATCAACATGATGTGTTTATAACCTGGGAAGTTCACAGTAGACAGTCAGAATGCCAGAATTGATACACATGCTATACAATTTGACTTGCATTATAGCTGTGATTCCCTACGACCATAGAAAGCTTGTACAAGATTTTGTATTAAGCTTTCAGTAATACCTGATTTTTGTCAACAAGCATAGCTATCCAGGGAGTTACTTCAGAGTAGGGTTTGCAATAACTGGTAGGGATATATGACTGATACAATCATACCAGAAAATTCAGGTCCAGCGTGCCTTGGGTTCAGATCCTGTGTGGGACTGAATGCAGTTTGCCAGTTGCTGTGCATGCTAAGCACCTATTCATGAGACTTTTGGGCCACTGGTTGTTCCAGCAGAATTGTGCGACAAGGTCTAGGGCATCTAGAGGCTACTTCAGCCTCAAAAGCCCCCTGTATGCTTGGGAGAGTGCTGCCAGATAAAACCCGCTGGGGACCATTCTACCTTTAGTTGTTAATTGGGGCTGCAAAAAAGAATTATAACCTCAGGAAATAGAATAAGCTCTTTGGTTTTCTTTACAGTTTCACAATGCTAACCAGCTGGCAGCTTGGTGCTTGCACTACATCTGCACCAATTACAACAGCGTTTGCTCCAAATTCCGCAAGGAAATCAAAGCTAAATCTTCAGGTATGGGCAACATTCTTTCCCAGTTATTTTCATAAGGTTTCTCCTTCTTTCTCCTCACCCAGTTGATTAAACATGAAGACAAAGATGATCTCAGATAGCTAAGCCATGAGACTGAACCTCTGTGCTATCTTGAGTAGCATTCATGAATTCTTATCTGTAAAGAAAGGTCATAATCATTAGCCTGATTCCTGGGCAAGCATTATGTTCTTTACCTATTTCAGTGATGCTAAAAGGAACAGAGCTATTTTCAGGCTCCACAATGAAAAATACATTCTGTAAAGGGCTTGCTTTTTTACACTCTGTGGTGGACTAAGGCCTCTTGAGCGTAAACACTTTCAAAGTCTTTACACACTTTAACTAAGGCATATGAGGAAGCTGGGGGAATCCCTGATAAGCCAGCTAACATAGAGACTGGATAAAAGATTAGCTGCATAGCTTTTTGCAGACACTCAAGACATTTCTGGGATTTGTGTATCTTATTGGCTTGTTTGGGGGCTTTTTGATTGTTTCTTTTTAATCAGATAATCAAGAATATTTTGAGAGGCATCGGTGGCCGCCTGTGTGGTATTTAAAGGAAGAAGATCACTACCAGCGAGTTAAAAAAGAAAGAGAAAAGGAAGATGTTGCACTGAATAAACACCATTCGAAGCGGAAGTGGTGCTTCTGGAATTCCTCTGCTGTAGTTGCCTGAACAAAGCAAATAAGTGGAAATCGATAGCCAGTGTCAGAAATTAGTCTTATTGTTAGAAATAAGATGTAGTTCAGGTTTTCAGGAAACTTTGTTCCATGTGTGCATTTATTATTGCTAGGGACAAAAGCACAAGCTCACTGAAAGTGAGCCTGGAACAGCTCCTCAAAGTCATATGTATATTTTTGGCTAGTAAGCAGATAAATGTCTACCATTATTACACTTCTTTTTATACAACAACAACAACAAAAAATCCAGCATTAATGTTTCAATCTCCAGTTGGGAAATATTTTTATACTGTCTGGTGTATTTTGTTCAGATAAAATTCTGGATACCATTTTATTTTACAGACCACAAAATGACCATGTAGCAGCTTTGTAACTAGATTTTAACAATTTTTACTATGTGAGTACAGTCAAATAGACAATCTTCAGTCATAAGAGACCGCTTTTAGAGTATCTCATAAAAAGTCATCTTAGGAAAAAATCTAGTTGCCTACTATAGGTTGTCTTTTTTAAACTAAGTACTGTGCACCGGTAATACAATTAGATGGTTATTTCCCCTTTCTAAAGTAAAAGGTTAGAATAGGATCCAATAACTGCAAGATATAGAGTGCTTGATCTTTGCTTAGCTGAATAATAGGCAGTATAATTACCTGTTCAACTGCAGGCAAATGTATTTCTAATATTTGCCATGTAAGTGCAAATAATTATGACTATGTGGGCCATGTGAAATCTAGTGATTCTAAGTATTCAGAGGTTTTATATGTCTAGATCAAAGAGGATATTTCTAAAATCATTTAGAAGGGCTTATTAATTTATATCCTTATACAAGTATGGATCTGAATGCAAAAAGCAGTTACACTGCTTGCATTTGAATTACTGTGTGGCAGTTACCTTGTTCTGTTGGATCTTAACCATGCAGCCACTCCTCATGCTGAATTCCTTTTTGCTTCAGTGCAAGCAAATGAAAGGGCTGCAAAAACAAGTAGGAGTTATCTAGTGTTACCGCATTTTGTAAACAAAGAAGGGTCTTCACACACAAGATCACTTCAGTTTGATTCAAATTCTTTTATAGCTTTTCCCAAGTAGAACTCAAAATGTTAGATTATTTTTAAGTAGATGATATATTTCCCCTGGACGTAGGTATTCCCAGAAAGCTGGGGGCAAAATGATGGCAGAAAGGCAGGAATCCTGCACAAGTGGTGCAAGAAAAGAAAAGGCCTCCAGTGTTTCCAAAATAGCCTGTCTGTTTATGACTTTTTATCAACCGTTACTCCAAAGCTGCAGTGTTAGACTAGATTACATAAGGATGAGAGCATTTTTTAAAAGACCAAAACTAAAATACATAGACTGTAGAACATAACATGCAATCCTGTACAGTGTCTCAGGCACAATTCAGTAACCAAGGTAGTATTGTGTATTAGGTTCGTTAACATTGTTTTGTGCTGGCAGCTCAGCATACCAATGTGAAAAGCTGTTTGTTTGTTTGTTTGTGGTATTTTCTGTGTTCAAAGGCAAGGCAGTACAGCCAAACCCCAGTACTGTAGGTCAGGAAAGGCTTTGGACTGAAAGCCATATACACCTCTACATATCTGTGTTCTGAATGGACTAATTCCTGGCAGATGCTACCACAGGATGGTAGAAGCCACCCAGCATGGAAAGTGATGCTGCTTTACAAACTTTTATAAGGAAAGCAAGTGACAGATTCCTATCCCTGTAAGATTCATCACCATATGGTGATAAAGAAGGGCTATAAACGATGGTTGCAAATATGTCTCCTTAATTCTTGGTCAGTAATAATGTATAGTATGGAGAAGAATGAATGACAGAAGATGTGTCAAGACTAAGATAAGATAAATATCTGTTGTCACAAAATGTTAACCAGTCACATTTTAAATAAGTATTGCTACTAGGTTTTACACAACCAAAGCTACTGTATGATTGTAATCTTGCCAAACTGTAATGAATACATAAATGAACCTGAGGTATATGCAATAATATCCAGTTGTTCTAGTTATCAGCTACTGTAACCAAGTGGCTGGTTCATTTGGTTAATGCTGTCTATGGCCTTTAATCCTGGTGGTTATTTTGTGTTTTTTATTTTGGGGAAAAAAAAAAAAAAGTCAATAAAACTGTTTAGTTACAAACTGTCTCCCAGTACTTTGAAGAAGCTTCTTAAATTTTGCATTAGGTGCTGCCCTTTTTAGTGCTGCTTGTAAGCATCCAGTTGTGGTATCGTTCATGGAATTTTACTGAACTGATATATGCATGGCATATTAGGATTTATGCTTAGGGTGTCACACAAGGAAATCCAACAGTGTTTGTATATGATGGTGGAAGGTTGGTGCTTGTCACTTACTGTTAAACTGCATAGCAAAAAAATCTCATGCCACTTTTCCCCATGGTTTCTGATATTTAATTAGCATGATATTACCCAAGGGACATGAAACTAATTAGCCATGACAGACACGGGGAGGAAAAATGCAGGTAAACAGCAAGAAGTCTGTAAGGTTTTTGGTATGCTCTAAACTTTGTACAAACACTGTTTTCCCTGCTTTCTCACTGCCTTAGTTGTCAACCATTATACAGAATCCCTCGTTATCTGTTAGTACTCGGCAACTACCTCCCTGAATATAGGTTCTTTAATTGATAGAGGTAGAAAGCCGGTGATTTTCTAGAGGATTTTTGCAAGATGTCATGCAAAGAATGTCATGTTTGTGATTTTTTTAAAGCTCTTAAGCAATGCCAAGGATGTTGAAAGTAAGCACATTGAGCACACAGTGTACTTTTTTTTTTTGAAGTGCTAATTTATGAGAATGTTACATATCTCAGTGACTTATTTTTAGAAGCAAAATTTTATTTCTTTGAACTTACCATTAGAAAATGTAATGGGCTCAACAGAAAAAGTGGTGACATTAGATGTAAAAATGTTTCTCTTGATTGTGATAAAACCAGTAGCATGGAAGGAAGGAGCAAATCAGAAGTGTTGCCCTTCAGGGCATTCTTTTTTAAATATTATGACCATTTAGGAGAAGTTGCATGTCCTTTATTTCTGGGGAGTCTCATTCAGCCTATTTCTTAGAAACAGTGTTTTTCTATTTGTTCTTTAAGACAGAATTTCTGCAAGCAAGTTCCTCTGCATCACAACACAAACCAGTTTCTGTGGCTTCCCACCCACAAATAGCACACCAAAGCCAGAAACAAGTGTTTTGTGAGTAAGATGGGATTGGCCAGACTACAGCCGCAACTCACTAATTTCATTCACTGAAGACCTACTCATCACTGTCTTTTAGTCAGATCAGGCCTCAAAGTGTGCAAAGGTAAGCTAGATAGTACTAAATATGTGCATACATTAAGAAGGTGTTGCCTAGTAGGAGAGACTTATCTGGACATCCCTTCTGAGCACTGAAGGCAGGATTATACCAAAGGGAATAAAGGAAAAGCAGCACAGTGCTTTATTGCCCTAATTCTTCAGCAACTTACCCACAGATATCCCTCAAGAATAACTTATGCCTAGAAGTGTTTGATTTGTAAAATCAGGGGTTTATTTTCCATGTTCCAGTAACAATAGCACTGGCAAACCAGCTGAAGGCATCTTGGAAATCCTTCTCTGAGGGCCAGGTCTTCCATCTTCTGTACAAAGAGGTTTAGGTAAAGATCTAATGTACTAGATGATAGGATTAATGTTGCTACCTAAACTCCAGGATGGTGAAATATTTCAGTTCTTCCAGACTTTTTAAGATTACAGTCTGGTGAAGAAAATTTGCTTTGTCAGATGAAACTACAGTTTTGTCCCTATTCTGTCCCTTTTTTTCTAGATCACAGTCTTTATACTCTTGTCACTGGTTAGGCCAACATTTATTTACTCTGGATTGGTGTCCAAAGTATGTACTGTGCAGTGAGGTGTCTTTAAGGTGGTGCTTGCAACTCCTGAATCACCTTAGATTTTTGGTCTAGTAAAATGATCTAACAGCATTTGCACAAGTCTACTTCTGCAGGTAAAATTCCTATTGAAAAGGATGAGATACCACACACACACACTTCGGGTTTTGAGGTGCCACCTATTGAATTTACACGTTATCACTTGCCTGTGTTCCAAATCTGCTAACAGAAGTTTGCTCTGTGTACTGCATGCAGGATAAGGCAGTGTGTTAGCAGCAATAATCCCCATCCTATAGGCTCTACAATAGGACAATTATTTGTCAGTTAAATTATGCCTTTGCCTTTAGCTAAGAGAATATAACCCATGTCATGGATTCACTTTGCACTAACAGCCAGAATAGTGAGACTATTGTATATTTATACATGCAAACTAAATCCCTCACTGCTGCTTACAAAAAAATCTTGATTTCTGGTAGAAATATGAAAAGCTTTTGGATCAAGGTGCAGGAGGCTAAGAAGAAAATTTGAACACCAGAAGTTGCAAGAATGATTGTGCTAATGTATCCCAGCTCTAGAGAAAATCAAACCAAGAAGATAAAGATGTGATTCAGAGAAAGCAGTTAGAATGGGACAACAGATAATGGCTCCTTTATAATTGTTCAGCCTTACTATTTCATTTGTAAGCAGGCTGTATAGCTATAACATCCCGCTGGGCTGTTCTGCAGCAGCAAATGTTCCCAGATACAGGTCCTGCATCCCATCCCCACAGCATGCGGGGGCGGGCACAGGTTACAGTGAAAATGTTATATTATATTGCTGATTTATCTCAAGTCCTTTGCCATTCAGCAGTGGTACCCCACAATCTGTCCTTTGGCCTGCAGAGGAGCCCAGTACCACCTGCTGGACATGTTACATCTATTTTTGTCTCATGTTGAAGGATATTCCAGAACAGCAAGGACCTTACCCCAGCATATGAAGTATCTCCAGCCAGTCTCCTTCACTGGGACAGCACATAGTGGAAGAACAAAGCTCTGTGGCAGCCAGGTATTGGCGTGTTTAGGGATTTCAAGATGAAAAAATATAAAATAAACAACTTTCAAAAAACACTCAGAAAATCAAAGACCGAGTCACAGAACACACAGGGACCAGCTGTGTGACAGCCTGGACAGCAGTATTTCAGGTACCGTTTAAAGAAGCTAAACTGGGGAGGGGTAGATTCCCTGTAGATAGCAGCTCTGGTTCTTAGCTTTAAAGAAAAGCAGCCTTCCCCACTAGATAAAATTAGCAAGCTGGGTGCCACCCATCTGTATTGCACAGGTCTGAGCAGCAACACTGGAGGACTGTCTCTTCCCCCCACCCCATTCTGGCTGCTCTGAAGTTTTAGATAAGCAGCCAGGTGATGACACTTCACGGGGAGGATTTTCTTAAGAAATTTTCTTGCCATTAACATTTTTAAAAAAGGATTCTTTATTCCCCATGGAGATTAATATTTTTTTTAAGTTATAGCTGTATAATAAGGATTACATGGCATTCCAGGTATTAGTGCTGAGTAAGTCAAATTATCCTCACAGGTTAAAAAAAAAAAACCCTGCAATTATCAGAAGTTTAAGAGTATATGGTTAAATTTGCATCTTAGTCATTAAATATAAGGTGGTCATTGTGACTGGATGATCAGATGTGATTGCTCCCTGCTATTATAAATATTAGTTGTGCATTACATATTACAAAGAAATTTGAAGATTTCTCTCCTGGGTCCTCAATTAGACTTACAGGCTGCCTGCAAAGTTTTGTGGATCCCTGTGCTGATTATATCACCTCTACATTTTGAATTGTAAAGTGTCTGGTGTTAATTTTTAAATAATTAACAGATCTCATCATGTGATGGAAGTTTGTTAGGTGATGATGCCTTTTCCCAGAAGCAGTATAAAGAAAGGCTGTTTCTAAGGAGTGCCTAGGGACTCTCCAAGGCCAGGGAAGCTCTGTGAATCCTCCCCATTCCTGCACAGCAGAGTCCATAGGAAGAGCTGCATTGGCTTGCAGGGGATGTGATAGAGTATCACTAGTCCTGTGGTCTGTAAGACATCTGAGAGCACTCTGTAAAACCACCTCAATCAAGCGTAAGTACTCACACACTTACTACCCATCTTCAGAGATTAAGACTTGCCTCTACTTTGTAGCTGTCCGAGGGGTACACAGAGTGTTTCCTCCTGCCCTCAGGCTGGTCTGCTGAGGCAGGTCCTCCCCAGCTTTGTTCCCCCTTCATTTTGGCTG